GCCAACAGACACATGAAAAAATGCTCATCATCACTGGCCATCAGAGAAATGCAAATCAAAACCACAATGAGATACCATCTCACACCAGTTAGAATGGCGATCATTAAAAAGTCAGGAAACAACAGGTGCTGGAGAGGATGTGGAGAAATAGGAACACTTTTACACTGTTGGTGGATTGTAAACTAGTTCAACCATTATGGAAAACAGTATGGCGATTCCTCAAGGATCTAGAACTAGATGTACCATATGACCCAGCCATCCCATTACTGGTATATACCCAAAGGATTATAAATTATGCTGCTATAATGACACATGCACACGTATGTTTATTGCGGCACTATCACATAGCAAAGACTTGGAATCAACCAAATGTCCATCAGTGACAGATTGGATTAAGAAAATGTGGCACATATACACCATGGAATACTATGCAGCCATCAAAAGGATGAGTTTGTGTCCTTTGTATGGACATGGATCAGCTGGAAACCATCATTCTTAGCAAACTATCACAAGAACAGAAAACCAAACACCGCATGTTCTCACTCATAGGTGGGAACTGAACAATGAGATCACTTGGACTCAGGAAGGGAACATCACACACTGGGGCTATCATGGGAAGGGGAGTGGGAGGGGGAGGATTGCATTGGGAGTTATAACTGATGTAAATGACGAGTTGATGGGTGCAGCACACCAACAAGGCACAAGTATACATATGTAACAAACCTGCACGTTATGCACATGTACCCTACAACTTAAAGTATAATAATAATAAATAAATTTAAAAAAAAAAAAAAAACATTATGATCTGGTGTCACTTGCAAATTATATGTTTAGAATCGTTCAAAATAGTGAAGCATATTATTATAGCTGCATATTTCTGTAAAGTTTTCTTTACTTGTGCAATATGAACTTTACCTGAGATGGGTTATGACTAGATTTTTGGTTGAGCAATGATTCATATACCGACCTATCTCTTACCTCAGGCAACTAAGTAGTCACAAGCTATATTCCTCTGTTTTCACAATTTCTGTGTGATATTTTGTGAAATAAATTATTGACTGCCTGCCTTACATTATATGTATGGTCTTAGGCTTTATCTGAAAGCTGAGCAACTAAGTTTGTGTTCCAAAATGTTTGCTGGTTTGGAAAAAATAAAGGCCAAACTGTGTGCTGAAATCTTGAAATAAATGGAAGGTAAGAGAATTTTTAGTTGTTTTCTAACCCAAAAATTTGAAACTATTTTCTTATAGGAAAGAAAATTTAAATAAAGTACAATAAAATCAAACAAGATAATTCTTATGTTAAAATTTATTTTGCACTTTTGGGGGAAAAAGAGGAATAAATGTATGTATTTTATTTTTCTGATATAGTCAAGGAAAGGCTGCAGTCACAAATAAATCCCCAAATCTCTGTAGAATAAGACAGTCATTGCCTGCTCCCATTGTTATCAGATGGGTCTGGTTGCTGGCCCAGGCAGCTCTCCTCTATGAGTGACGGGGATTTTGCCCTGCTTCCACTGTGCGGCTCAGCTATCACAGATTCCTCTCCCTCCAAGCTTTCTTCCAGCACTTGTATTATACCCGTTTCGTCTTCCACAGAGCCAAGTTCTATTAAAAGATTATTTACTGGAAGACATTTCAAAGCATATGGAAGAAAGCGTGTTTATGAGTGTGCATGTGTGTACCTGTGTTCCTGATCACATTAGATCACAGGTAGATCTACCTTATTCTTTTATAATAACTGTAAATTATTCCACGATGTTAGCCTATCATTATTTTAACGTTTTTGAATCACAGATAATGCCTATATGAAGTTCCTTGAACATGTACATTTTCAAGTGTATTTTTAGGTTAATTTTCTTGATCTAATGATATGTGCATGCTAAAATTTTGTAGATATTGATGCTCCCTACAAGCAAGTTACATCAATTAACAATCCCACCAATAAATCATGAGGTGCATATTTCCTCAAACTAGCCTAAGTAACGCTTGGCTCCATCAAATTGCTTATGATTGATTTTAAAAAGGTTTATTTACATTTTATATTTTATTTTATTTTAAATTTAATTTTATTTTATGCTATTTTTGCCCTGTTTTATGCTATTTTTTTATGCTGTTTATTTATTTTATGCTATTTTATGCTATTTTTGGAATCTTGCTCTGTCACCCAGGTTGGAGTGCAGTGGCGTGATCTCGGCTCACTGCAACCTCGCCTTCTGGGTTCGAGCGATTCTCCTGCCTTAGCTTCCGGAGAAGCTGGGACTACAGGTGCGTACCATCACGCCCAGCTGATTTTTACATTTTATATTTTAAGATTATAAAATTACCCTCGACTTTATTATATTTTCATGTGTTCCTTAACCATTGCACTTTTCTTAAGAAATAATCTGTGTGTCTAGGTGGTTTGCTTATTTTTCCATGGGCCTTTTATTATCATGTTGCTTACCCAGTACATGTATGTTCTCTTATTCTACGAACACACACACACACACACACACACACAATTGAATTTCACTTTTATTGATTAATGATTTATACATGACCTTTATCAAAGATGAGTGTTAACCTTTTTACACCCTTTGAATAACATTTTGTTCTCTTTTTTTTTTTTTTTTTTTTTTTTTGATTCGGAGTCTCGCTCTGTCATGCAGTGACACGATCTCAGCTCACAGCAATCTCCGCCTCCCAGGTTCAAGCAATTCTCCTGCCTCAGCCTCCCGCATAACTGGGATTACAGGCATGTGCCACCACGCCTGGCTAATTTTTGTATTTTTAGTAGAGATGGGGTTTCGCCAGGTTGGCCAGACTGATCTCGAACTCCTAACCTCAAGTGGTCCACCTGCCTCAGCCTCCGAAAGTACTGGGATCACAGGCGTGAGCCACCGTGCCTGTCCTATTTCTTGTTTTAAATATGATTTTGCTTATGGTTTTCTAATCTATAAAAATGTTTAACTGTTATGATAATTTATCAATATTTTCACGGTATGTGATTAGAATAGTGTGACCTTGCTAAAACATGCTTTCTTGCCCCAAGTTTATTCTTTGAGTAATGTGTTTTCTTCTAGTACCTTTATTAGTTGATGTGTTATTTTCAAATCAACGACAGAGATATCAGAATTGTACTATAGAACAAGGAAATAATGGGATTCATCTTTTCATAACTAATTTTAAGGCAACTTTTAATATATTATACATATATTCATTTGCACTTGAGTCTGTCTTGACTTTCTGTTCTTCCCAACAAGCTATTCATTCACTGGCACTAAATTGTTGTGTTTATTATAGTGTTACTTTAATGTTTAGTAAATGAGCTCACTAATGTAAACAATGATTGTTGACTGTAACTTTTTTTACAATTTGAATTTTCACTTGATTTGGCCAAAAGCAAACACTAAGGATTATTTTATTTAAAATATTCAATTTACACATTAAATCAGGAATATTTTCATTATAATAAAAAATTGTTCAATTACACATTTTATGTTAAAACCATAGAAGTAATTTAAAAATGTATCATATTTCATGCAATCTGAATGTAAACTTTATGAAAGACTTATACACATGCAAATATTATTGCATTTTTTGCTCTAGTGTCCTATAAGTATAAACATATATTTATTTTTAAAGTCAGCTTCCTTTTTATCTCTTCAAAGTATTTCATAATCTCTTTAATAATTGATTTTTTAAACTCTCATAAATATATCAGATGATTCTTCCTATTTTCATTCTCTTGTGATAACACATACAATTTTCTGTCCTTAAGATAGATCATCGTTTTCCTTTTCAGATTTTAAAACACTTGTATTTCTCTAAATTATGTCTGTAGTTGGGTATTTCGAGAACAAACACATCTTTCAATGGTCTTTATTAAAGATTTCTCAACAAATCCTGTCTTCTCTGGTAAGCTCTCTTTGGTAAGGTTCCCACTGAGTAAAAAGACACTTGATTTTTATTCCTCAGGAAGCCTCCTTCTTTCCGCCTAGCTCTCCAAGTCCTCTTTGCAGAAATTCTCCTTGTCATTTTTATCTTTTTCTTCTTTCTTTACCTCTTTTACTCATTATCATCATCCAGTAATGAAAGAATTATGGGCTGAGCGTTTGATGCTACAAAGTGAATTCTTCACTAGGATATTTTTTTTTTCCAAAAATAAGTATGGAAAAATAAAAATGCTATAGATTTTCTTCTTCTCTTCTATAGATTTCTTATGAGCATAAGGAGAAAAAAACAACAATTATTATGATAATATAAAGATACATAGAATGAATGACATTTTTACAAAGAGGAGTATTCTAAAATATGTGTGGAATCAACATTGCCAGCATCAATATTCCTAGGAACATAACAACAAAGCTTTGCAAGTGAACACCTGTAGTTGATGCTGTGTGTGCTGTAAGTGCTTCCTGCTCCAGCTACTCTGATAGTTGACTGCTAATTCTCATTGGGAGGCCATGCCCCCTCACTTCCCTTCCTCTTCCTAGAGGAAAGAGCTAAAGACTTACTGGCCTAATTACAAGAGCTCCTTGTCTTAAGGCCGGACTAACTCTGGATGAAAATTTAGCTTCAGAGCTTCCCATAGGATCAGTCTGAAGCCGCAGTACTGCTGAGGCTACATTCTCGCTAACCTTCTTGCCTTCTCAGTGTTACTACCCTGCATCCACTTCCGAAACCGTTCCCCCATTCAATCACATGCGTGCAAGGGAAACTATGCTACTTTTGAGTGGCTGGGTGAATCCATGCCCTCTTGTATTCAGACCCTGTGTAGTTCCCTCCTACTTTGACTTTGAGTTTGCCCTATGTCTAACTTTGGCTCATGGGATATTAACAAGCATAATGCAGAGGCTTGATGAGTCCTCAGGCATTGGAATGTGTCTTCTTTGAATGCTACTTTTTGTAACCTATTGTTCTCCCAGAGAAGCCCAAACCACATGAAGGAGTCACATGGAAGAGAGATGAGGCTTTCTCAAACATTTCAAGTGAACTGGCTACAGCCAGCCAGCACTAACTGCCAAACGAGTCCAGGAGCCATCTTGGAGCTCAAGTCCAGTCAAGTGACATCACAGGAACCAGAAATCCATCCAGCTAAGCCCAGACAACCCAGAAAATTATGAAAGATTCAAATGGTAATTGTTTTCAGCCACTGAGCTTAAAATGTATTTGTTACATAGCAATAGAAAACTGAAAAAGAATCCCAATTTAAGAAATCCTGGCCGGGCGCGGTGGCTCAGGCCTGTAATAACAGTACTTTGAGAGGCCCAGGCGGGCGGATCACGAGGTCAGGAGATGGAGACCATCCTGGCTAATATGGTGAAACCCCGTCTCTACTAAAAATATAAGGAATTAGCAGGGCGAGGTGGCGGCACCTGTAGTCCCAGATACTCGGGAGGCTGAGGCAGGAGAATGGCGTGAACCCGGGAGGCGGAGCTTGCAGTGAGCCGAGATGGCACCACTGCACTCCAGCCTGGGCAACAGAGCGAGACTCCGTCTCAAAAAAAAAAAAAAAAAAAAAAAGGAAAGGAAAAGAAATCCTAAACTTTGAACAAATGGATGAATGAAGTGGAATATTTTCTTCATGCTGTGGTACATCATGGACAATTGCTCCTGCCTTACCCACATTAAATCCTCCTAATCACCAGAATTCCTGTGTGTTCCTTTCTCTTTTATACAGAGCAGGATAGTTGTCTCAATTTCTCCTTGCATTGTTGCTTACTTGTCAGTTCACGGAGTGATGGCAGATTCTGTCCGTGCATTTTCACATTTAGTTTCTACAATTTGAAATTACTTTATTTTAGTTTTATTTTAAGCACTTCTGCCTGATTTCTCACTGATTCAGTGAGCAGTAAGTCATACTGTTGGCAATGGAAAGTGGTTATCCAGTGAAAGTTTCCTACTGCCTGCTATTATTAGGACTCGTTCAGCTCCAATCTTGAAACGGCACTTGCTGGCTTTATCTTTATATTTGGTTATACTAATAAAACAAAAGCTTGACACGTGGACATATCTATATTTTTATTACATTGCTCTTAAATTGTTTTTCTGAATTATGCAATAATTTTTATTCCTAAGGTTTTGTAAGACAGGAATTGTGAGCCAGTCATATTTATATTTCCTTTCCCTCAAGGAAGTAGTAAGAAAAAATCCATTCCAATATATTAACAATTCTGATCAATTTCTGGATCCGCATAAAAACATACACAAATATATATATAACTATATATCTATAGTTCATAAATGTGCATGTGTGTATATATGTGCATATATAAATGTATATAATTAAATATTGAGGCAGATAAGCATACTTTTCCTGTTGTATATAGTATTTTTAAATTTTCTAAAATCAGCACTGTTATAGCTAAATGTATGTAATATGTCACCCACATTTGGGAGATGAATATAGCCTGAAGAACTCATTTCTAACCCACATATCTAAGTAATGAACAACGAATAATCACAGTAAAATTGTTCTGCAAGCATTAACTTGTACAAAAGGCACAACTCTACTGAGCAACAAAGACTGCACTGTGAAATCCTTTTTTAAACGGGAGCTGAAGTAGTAAACAAGTCCTTAGACATCTTTTTTCCCTCAGACAAAGCTTCTGTTGCCACATTATCTTGTCAACCCACATGAGGTTTAGATAGGTCAATACTTATATAGGTAACTTCTAAGGAACACCTGGCCTTCCAGAAGGTGACATGTTAATTAAATAGATAGCATTCTTTTTCTTAATGTACAATTGCTTAAATGCAGGTACTTCTTTCAGATTCTTTCGTCTCCCTTTTAACAGTTTTGTGAGCTTGAGGGCTAAAGTGAGCCAAGAACCCTGGTAAAAAGTAATAATTTTGGAAATATTACTAATGACATTTGGGCTAAAGAAAAAGAGAAAATGCAGATCTTTCCTTTGATCTCTTTTGGCCTTTCTGCATTCCCAGCTCACCACATAAGTATGCTGTGAGTTTCTGAGTGTTAAAACAGACATTTCGTAACTTAATTTGCTTTTGGAAAATATGAAGAACTATCTTATCTAATAACTAGAGTTCTTCTTTAGTGATTTCCTAAGCCAGAATGTCAGATCTGGCTGGTTTATAGATCTTCAGGATTGGAACAGCCTGGAATTAGTAATCACAGTCATACCGTGAAAAAATCACCTTTACTCTAACCAGGGGGAGTTAACTACAGAATCAGTCAAGAAAAGGGGCCTAATCTTTAATAAATTATTAATGCAACAAGTTTTGTAGCAGGCATGATTAATACAGAATTTAGAAATAGTGCACACATCTTGGGTCTTTGCCCATTTATTTCATAGTTAGTTGTAGTCATTATTTAAAGTTCATTTTATCCCAGATACAATGTAAACAGTTATTTTTAGGGGCAAAAGTAACTTATTTGGTTTCCTACACAGGATTTACCTTTGGTTTTTGAAATTTTTCTTCCTCTACTCATAGGCAATAAATGATAAAGATATTAAAATAGAAGGTAAAAGCTAGCTGTCTATATGTTCTTCATCATTAGGCATATTGACCTTATTAATTTGTTTCTGTCTTTATATTTTATTACTTTTGAAAATTTACATGTACAACCTAGATTTTATGATTATATACTGGGTTCTTAGTCATTACTTTCATAATTTCAAAACTGATGTTGAATCATATTGATGTCCTTTTTAAAAGAAATTCAGTGTTTTTTTATTCCAAATAAAATGTGTGACATACTTTTTATAGAAGAAAATAACATTTACATTCTTCACATGCAAAGAATACATATTTATGACATGTGTACTGTTTATATACCAGAGACATATTCTGTAACTCAGTATATATGTAATCAATAACATATTTCTTTTATTTGTATATTAGTAAGTGTATACATTAATACCTTTTCATTTTATATATAGAAATATATTACTTTTGTAAACAGAGACAATATAGCTCAATCTATCACTAAATATATATATATATATCCATGCATACATACGTATTCCTGATATCAAAAGATGCAGCTTTATATATTAAACAAATTATAGTTTCTATTATTAGCCTCAAATTTAACTTTGTGCTCACAAAGAAACATTTTAAAGAAATTATATTTGGGAAAAAAGCTGTTTCACCTTAAACTGGAAATATTTGACTCAGTACTAAAATTCAGCTTTATCATTTTTAGTATTTTGAAACTTAAATAACAATTCTATACACTTGAATACAGAAATATCATTCACTTTTATTGTGACTTATGAGCATCAGACGTCAAAGCTTTAGATGATGTCAGTAGGGAGACTGTGATGTGGCTTTTAAGTAGAAATAAACCTAGAAACAAAATTGGATTAAGATTAAAAACAATGTTTAAGTTTATTGAATGTCTTCAACTAATTTTAAACTATTTGTGGCTCAGTAAAATTTATATATACTGGTTTTTGCCCTGTCACTTTTATAATATTATTTGTATTTTTAGGCAAACATCTTTTTTAAATTAACTATATTAATCCATTATTGATTCTTGTTTATCATCATTAGAAATTCTTAATTTCTAAGAAGGTAGTTCTTAAAAAAGACAATGTTCTCTGTGACCGCATATACTTTTTACCATGGAAATAAAAATAAAATCATTATTTATATTTATATAAAGAACATAAAATTTGAAGTCATAATTGATGTTGAATAACATTGATGCTACATTGTAAATTAAAAATCTGAAAACTTTACTTAAACTTTCTGATATTCTCATCTACAACAACAGCAAAATCCCCAAATGTTTATAAGAGTATATAGTACATGGCCAAAAATGTTACTTTTCTTTTTTTTATTCTTGAAAACTAGCATCACCATTTGGTTTCATAGGATAGAAATGACTTTCATTTGCATTTTTAACTGGCAAATTTGTATTATAATACTTGAAATTCAAATAAGTAATAAAATAAATGATTGTTACTTTTTTAAATATGCAAGAAGTTGTTAATCAGTTTTACTTATGATTAATCACCAATAATTGATGATAGCAAATTGAAAGTGTGTCATAAACAAAGATTTGAAACAATAATATTCTGTTAGAATGGGTAGAAGGAGATATACACTCAAGAAATACTAATGAAAGCTTTTATTTGTATGAGTCTTCCAGAAAATAGTTCATTAGCAAGTAATCATCACCTTCAAAGAGTTTATATCCTTTATCTCTCCTACTGAATCCAGCGAAATTCTACTTCTAGGAATCTCTCTTAATAAATTCATTAAACATACAGTATAGACATTGGATTCTGTACAAAGATATTTATTACTCTTTTGTTTATTATGCCCAAAATGTGTAAATAAAAATTCTGTAACACAATTGGATTTTTAATATCAGTGATGGTCCATCTCTATGCCAAACATTTACATAGCCCATAAAAAATTTTCCAAAAAGAAAAAGAAATAAAATGCTCATGGTACAGTGTCAAGTTGAAAAGGAGAGAAGTGTGCAAAATTATTTACATGTAAAAACTCATATATATTTGTTCCACCATCCAAAAAAGGAAAATAATCAAAACCACTGTTGTCACTGATTTTTTTCTGCATTAATACATGCTAATTCAATTAGCATTTGAAATAAACTCTTCTTCTCTTAAACTCCATATACTATTTTAAAAAATCTAACTTTCTGTTTGTTTAGTTTGTTTATGTTTTTAACTGTGAATCATTTCCAGCCAACTCTAGACATAGCAAGCTCTACGAAGGTCTTCTAACTTCATTATAAAGGCACACAGAAATTACCTTGTTAATACTTCCTTGAAAGCCTGGTGGCAGTTATTCCTCTTCCAAAACTGGGCAGTCCCTTCTTTATTATTATTATTATTATTTTTGTTATACTTTATATTCTAGGGTACATGTGCACAACGTGCAGGTTTGTTGCATATGTATACATGTGCCACATTGGTGTGCTGCACCCATTAACTCGTCATTTACATTAGGTATATCTCCTCATGCTATCCCTCCCCGCTCCCCCTAGTCCACAACAGGCCCCAGTGTGTGATGTTCCCCTTACTGTGTCCAAGTGCTCTCATTGCTCAATTCCCACCTATGAGTGAGAACATGCAGTGTTTGGTTTTCTGTTCTTGCGATAGCTTGCTGAGGATGATGGTTTCCAGCTGCATCCATG